AAAAACATGCGCAGGCTATCACAGCATCGCCCTTTGGAGGCTTTCCCCGTCTGCTCCCCGCCCCTGAGACAATGCTCGACACCGACCGACCAGCTCGGCTGCCTGCCGTCAAGGATGTGACTGTTTTGGGTGTTCATTCCGGCAATCATTTTACGGAGCTCAACTTTTTCGCGGAAGTGATCCATCGCATTGATTCACTTGAACCCTTCGAGTTCCAGTCCTTCAAGATCAGCCACAAGAAAGAAGCTATTCAGCGAGATAATCTCCAGAAGGAAGCTGAATCGAGAGCCGCAATAGATGTTGAAAAGGGGAGTGAGAAGGATAGCAAGAAGCCAAAGATCCCATCCAAGGCCAGCATTCCGCTGCATAAATTTTGCCCGCTGAACATTGTGACGCTGGGCTCGATCCTGATCACAATCGCGTTATCTGTTTGGGCTGGCGTCAACCACGATGCCGTTGCTTTGATCGGCCTGGCAACTATGTCGCTATCCACCAGCACTGCTTGCCTGTCCTCACAGTGGCGGCCGAGACTCACGATCCGCACGTCGACCGCTTCTGACATCCCTTCAGGGGATGTCATTATCCGCACGCGGTCAGGGGCATTCGTGTTTGTCGAGTGTGACGAGAATGTCTCGCGAGAGCTTTACGGTGGCACCGAGGTCTGCGACTATGTCTTTAAGGGAGTGGTGCATCAAATTCTTCTCGGAACCAGTACGATTCTTCTGATGGCCTCAATCATCTTTTTCAGTAACAGCGGCTGGAAAATGCAGATCGCCGTCGGCCTCGCATATGTTATCCTGAACATCGCATACTGGGCCATGGCGCTTCTGACTGAACCGCATCATACCTGGAATATGAAGGAACGATATGATATCAAGAGGACCAACGAAAAAACGATCAGAGAAACCTTCACTGTCGTTATGTGGGATACAATTCAGGCAACAAAAGAGATCGACTGGATCAAGAAGGCCAAAGTAGCGCCAGCGACGAAGAACTGGGATGGGTGGTTGCAAGACGCGAAGAAGAACTGTGATAATCCGCGTTGGGATGCTGAGGGCAGGCGTAATGAGTGGATGGCGAGGAAAGATCTGTGATGAGTCCATAAAGATGAGTGACGCCGAACAAACTGAGACTGTCACATGTATCATATGTTTAATGTATTATGGAGAACTATATGGATCCCAAAAAGGGATATTCTGTATTACTTTTGGTCCTTCCATCAACGCGTCTGGGAATAGCAGAGCTCGGAATACATGTATAGTCGAATGGTCTTATAGCTAGAATTTCTCTGCTAGCTCGCATAGCCCCAAAATCAAGTGCATGTTGTAACTTCTAAGCGAGGGGAATCAATTTGCTAATTGTTCATTGGAGATATAGATTTGGTGGAGAAACGCCCCAATGCAGCCAAGACATCCGTTCAGCTGACGTTGCCAAAGATTGGACTTTATTGCCGATCTTAGTCTCGAATATCACAAAGTGCTGATGGATTTTCATTTCATATACGGAATACGGTACACTGTAAGACCTTCTAGGAATAGAGTAATGCAAAGTGCCTGGGTATCTCTTTTCTTTAACATTAGGATTATGGGACCCTCGGTGTTTTCGGTGCATTCGCGTCCCTTGTAGAGAGACTCGAGATGCCATATCCTGCTAGACTTGCAATCACTGCAATTAGGAAGCCAGCCATCCCATGAGGAGATAGGAGTAAAGAGAACGCGGGGATACTTCCTGGTTCCGTGAAAGGAATAAAAAGAAGTTGTCAGCGACGCAGGCAGACTACGGTTTTCCGTTTGAGTTGACCAGAAGACTGTCCACATCACTCTTGATCAACTCCTAATTCGGATGTCTCGTGTTAGATCTAGTAGTAGGTAGTCTTAACAGATGGAAACTATGACAATGCACTCACGTATGAAAAGAGCTATATTGAATATTGTGGTCTTTTCTCATGATGTAAAACCTGAATACCTGTTCTCACGGACTCCATTCCGTACACTTCAGCACGTTCGTACCACTGCCGGAACCGCTCCTGCTGTCGCGCCTCGAATGCCTCCGTGGCACCAATTAAAGCAGGCAAGAAGAGTGGTGCAGCCAGTACCTAGGTCTCAGCTTTCACTTCTGCGATTGCTTCAATGCTTTCAAGGATGTTCTGCACATATTGTCTCAGATATCGATGGCTTAATAGCCTGATACTCTGGGAGAAGTATATGATGAGCGCGTTGAGGAACGCTCGGGTTTGATGATAGATAATGTTGGCTACTGGCACGAGACGCCTTGTGTTCTGGCCTAGCGGAAGTCCCTGCGCCTAATCCGCGCGATGGTCATTCCTGCCGGTGACTGGGGTGAGCCATTGCAGGCGGGCAGTGTAGCCCTCGCAGCTGAGGCCCTTCTCAAAGCATTGGTGGCAACAGGGCTTGGGGTCATCGCACTTGATCTTGCGCCTGCGACATGTCCATCACCCTGTGAATGTCTTCATGCGCTTCCGAAGTTGCCTTCGGTTTTGCGAAGGCATGGGGTTCCGGCCATTACCCACTATACACTGTCCACGTTATCCAAATATGATGCGCAAGGGCAAATAGCGAATCGCAGTTCAAAATAATATATTGTGAAGAGGGAAAGAGGAAGAATCAAGGAAGTTCTCAGCGGAGACGGGGAGGGACCCACGCTTATCTTGGAGTGGAGCGGAACTCTTAACTGTGCGCGGAGACTTGCCTCAACTTCATTCTAGGCAACTGTCTCCTTTCCAAGCGCCAAAATGAGCAAACCCGAAGGCTATGATGTGACTGCCATACTCAACTTGATATCATAATGCGAAACATAAAAAAGCCAATGATGTCCGGGGAAATGCCAAGTCTCAGCTCTCGGGGAATAGGAAGGTTATAGCGGAGTAGAGTAGCCACTAAGACATTCGAGCTCTATCTCGGACTTCGTTGACACAACTACCTTTATTACATCTCCAACGTGTCTCAACTTCTCTCTCTACCCTCTAGCTTTGATCTGCTTCACAATGGCCAACCGCCAAAGAACCCTCGACCAGCAGGTCTACTGCATCAAAGACCTGGAACGCCTCGGCTCCGAGAAATTGGAAAAGACCTATCGCGGTAAGTGGTACACTTCCTAAAGTCATATCAAACAGAATACTGACATATTTCGCAGAGTATTATAATGAGGGCGCCATGGATCTCCTCACGTAGGCTTACACTTCATCCTCGCCCCGGGGGCATTTCGCTCTGACATGATTTATCACACAGATTGCGGTTGAATGAATCGGCATACGACCGCTACATGATTCGTCCCCGAGTGCTGCGAAACCTCTCAGGCCTAGATACCAGCACTCACATCTTCGACACGAAGGTCAAATTTCCCTTCGGGTTCTCGCCAACGGCCATGCAGACGCTGGCGCATCCCGACGGCGAGATCGGCACGTCCAAAGCTTGTGCTGCTAACAATACATTGATGGGATTATCGAATTACTCCTGCATCGAGCTGGAAAAGGTAATTGGACACGGCACAAGTAACCCCTATGTTATTCAGATGAGTCTTCTTAAGAATAAGGCCGCGATGATCCAGATGATCAAGCGAGCGGAAGGTGAGTTCATTTTTTTTTTGAAACACGAATACTATGATATATCGCTGACTTTACTTCTAGCCGCGGGCTTCAAGGCACTCTTTGTCACTCTTGACGTTCCCTATCTTGGTCGCAGACTGAATGAATTCCGTAACAAGTTTACGGTGCCTAAGGGCATGGAATACCCTAATCTTTTCCCTGGTGTCGATGTCACCAACCTCGAGGATGGCGATGAAGTGATGGCTTATGGTAATTATTGTCTTTGGGGTAATATCAGAAATTGTCCCGATTGACTAACATGTCTAAATGATAGATGACACTCTTGAATGGCCCGACCTAATACCCTTCTTCCGCAGACACACCAACATGCAGATCTGGGGCAAGGGAAGTAAGTAATAAACATCTATACCTAGGAAATCCTTGCTACTTAAGGAAGCTAACATATTTCGCCTTGTTCCCTGTGCAGTTTATACCGCCGCTGATGCTGAGCTCGCGATCAAGCACGGTTTTGATGGAATCATCATCTCAAACCACGGTGGCCGCCAGCTTGATAGTGTTCCTTCTTCTCTTGACGTCCTCCATGAAGTTGTCCCTGTCGCAGAGGGCAAAATCCCAATTGCCGTCGACGGTGGTATCCGTCGTGGCACTGATATTTTCAAGGCTTTGGCTCTTGGAGCCGACTTCTGTCTTGCTGGACGACCGGCAATTTGGGGCTTGGCTGTGAGTTCTCCGTCTCTCTTGTGGTCAAATTAAAATATTGTTTACTGAAATTCAACCGCGCGAAGTATAATGGCCAAAAGGGAGTTGAGCTGGCTCTCAACTTGCTTTACGATGAATTCAAAACGTGCATGGCGTTGGCCGGGTAAGTTTCAAATCTTATAATTTTAGACTTTGCTTTAACAACGTTGCTAACACCACTGCTGCAGTTGCCGAAACGTCTCTGAGATCAAGAGAGAGTCCATTTCGCTTTTGCAGTCTGATGGTCGCCTGTTGAAGTTGTGAATAGCACTTGTTGTTTTTAAGTCGGCCGGCTGCTCAGATCTTTTGTTAGAACGGTAGGAGATAATTTGAATCCATGATTGGACATAAAAGTTCGCATCAATTCAGCTATCATAACATATCATCCGGTAATTATTTCATGTATCATATTTTTCGTTTTGACATGGCAAAGCTAATCTACACTGATTTCACTCGACATATTTTACCAAAACACTCCAGGGTCCATGAACAGAATGAGGATAGAAATGACTCAGCCTTTCCAAACAGGCTACTGGCTCAGACGATCGGGTTATGTTAACCCATTATGGGCAAGTAACATATAACTAGCTCCATTTCGTGTGCGCTGATTCACCCGAAGACTAGATCAAAATCTATGGATACTATCAAAGCTCTATACATCGACATGGCATTTATTCTAAGTTCTAACACGAAACCCCTATTTGTAAGGGTTGTCACTAGTAAACTTAGGCTCCCAAAGCCCCTTACTCTCCTTAACCTGAAGCTGCAACCCCTTAAGAATACCGTAAACAGTACGAAGAGTAGGCATAGCAACACCATGAGCCTCACCCTCACGCAAAGGCTCACCGACAATATTCTCCAGCTCGAACAGATTCCCCTTCTCAATATCCTGACACATAGATGGCTTAAACTCAAACTGCATGTCATCATTGAAGATCACCTTGCCAGGAAGATCATCCGTAAGTTCCGTCACGCCACAAGCGCGCGCAGCAGCAAGCACCTCGAACATAATGGGAAGAATCAGGTCATCGATAACATGTCCGCTCATACGCATGCGTCGGGTATCCATGCGCAGGATTGTAGCGATTGGATTGAAGGAGCCGTTATAGAGGAGTTTACGCCAGCGGGCGCGCTGGACATCGGCGTCGTAGACTACCTCTAATTTTCCATTCGGGTTGTAGATGTTGATGTAGTTCTTTGCTGCATCTTCGGCGATTTGCTGGGGAACAGATTGGTTTTGGAATGGGCCGATCTTTTGCGCGTCTGGGTCGTCGTGAAAGATGTCGGCGTATGCGCGCTCTGTTGCGCCGACGGTGGATACGCTGCTAATGACTGGGTTGTGGGGGAAGCGGGGGATGATTGGCTTTTCGATGTTGAGGCCGTTCTGTGAGAGCACGATGGCTGTCTTGCCAGGTGTCACTGCTGGCTCGATGATGTCTGCAACTGTTGGCGATACGTCTGGGATGTTCTTGGTCGTTACCAGGATGAAGTCGAATGGCTTGAGGCCTTCTTTTGCAACGTTGGGGACACTCTTGACGACTGAGGGTTTGGTCAGCCTTTGCTATAAAGTGCTGTGGTTTATACGGCCGCTTATGGGAGCTTACTAGTTGTTGGTCGGAATCCCTTGATCTCATGTCCATACTGGATCGAATCGATGCTGATTCCGTTCTTCACGGCGGCATCGTAATTTGATCGCATCACTGCTGTGACGTCGGCCTTGCCAGCTTGCATCAGCGCATAGGCAGACATAGTGCCGACACCTCCAGTGCCGACAATAAGGACTCGAGTTTTTTCTTCCTGTGTCATTGGTGCGATTTGGTGAATACCTTGTTGTGGGGGCTATAAAATGCTTTGAAGGGAGAGAGCCGAGATGAAGTGGCTGCTATAAGGAAAAGCTTGCAGGATGATTGCAACTATCTTCCCCTCTTCATATTTACGGCATCGAATACCTTAAAATGGAAAGTGTAGATAGCGGAGGGAAGGCGAAACGCCGAGAATATGGAGCACATCGAGAAAGGAAAGCCACAGCGGAGCCAATTAGATGCTCCATAATGAGGATCAACATAGAGGGGCAACTTGACTTCATGTATCTTATGCTCTCTATGGGTGAGTTTCACTTGAATACTGTCTAGTGAAAGGAGACATATTTGTGCTTTTACTTTCGTCGGAACTTCAATATTGTTAGGTTTCGCACGGTTTATAGGACCAGCATTTTACGTTTATTTGTAAGGAAACTTCTATGGCTTTATTTACAATTGATAAAAGGATACATCTGAGGGGAGTACACTTACAGGCGAGCAGTAATACCAGCTTGCAAGCCCTTGATAACCTCGGCAGCGGCTCTCTCACCACTCCGAATAGCACCCTCCATGTAACCCTTCCACTCACCCGCAGTCTCCGTGCCAGCAAAGTGCAAGCTTCCACAACTTTCACGTAGAGCGTCGCCACCAAGATTAGCAATGACACCGGGAGTGAGCGCTGTGCACGGGCAGCCCCAGCCAGCCCACTCATCATGCACCCACTCGTAGGTTGTCATTTGCACAAACTCTCGCTGCAATCCGCCAGTTGAAAAGAGCTTCTCAAGTTGCTTCAGAAGACTGCGCTCCCGCTCAGGAGTAGAAAGTACTGCCCAGGCCCATCCAGGATCGCCAGACAGGAAGCATGTTAGGACGTACTTCCGATCCTCGGGACTGCAGGTCTCCCGAACCACGCTGGCTGGGCCAATAAATGATTGTGCAAGGCCGCAGAAGCCCTTCTTTTCCCAAAAGGGAGAGCGGAACTCCATCATGGCTTTGGTGTAGTATCCATACGTGGTCGACTCGGCCCAGACCTGCTTCGCGGGGGGCAACTTAGGGTGGAAAGCAATACTCTTCAAAGCAGGGCTGGGAACAGTGGTGATAACCTTCCGAGCAGCATATACTGCGCCACCTGCCTGCACCTTGATCGACTGGTCACCGCTCTGCACAACTGAGTGCACAGGGGCGGACAGCTTTGTTATACCCTCGGGTAGCGACGAGGCTAATCCTAGGGAGAAAGCCTGGGTACCTTGGCGGATTCGCAGGTACTGACCTCCATGCTTGCGATCAGATCTCATCTGCAGCAGACCTCCACCAGACTTGCAGTAGTTCAAAAAGTAAAGAGCGGAGATATCGCGAGGGTCCTGGCCCAGCATGGCCCGCGTCCAGACTGTGGCCGTAGCAAGTGCGACTTCGCTGGCTCCCCGGGACCGCAAATAGGCCTCGAATGTGAGAGAATCCAGAGAATCGTCATCGGGTCTCCATGTGTCAAGGGCCTGGCAATCTGCCTCGCACATATCGCGAATCTGTGCCAGATGTTGCCGAGTGTTTTCATCAAACTGTCTCTCAAAGTCAGAAACTGGATCATCAGACGGGGCTCCGGTGCATACTTGCGTTTGGAATTTCTCCATAGGCAAAGGCTGTGCATTTACCATCAAAGTCTTCTAAAACAGCATTTCCCTGCGTATTCTGCTCAATGACCTCTGCGCCGTAACGCTTCGCAAGGGCGTAGACCTTGCTCTGGTTTGTGTCATTAATCCAGGCAGCTCCAAGATCAATAGTACCGCCGTCCCTAAGTGGTGTGCTCAAAGTCTTGCCACCAACACGGTCCCGCGCCTCAAGAATGACGCAGGATAGACCGCTGCGCAGGATATCATGCGCAGCGGTCAGACCAGCCAGGCCGGCACCAATGATGACAACGTCCACGGTCTGGTTTACATTGGGCAGTGCAGGAGGAAGCGATGGCTCCGGGAGTGCAATAACAGCATCGACTTCGAACAGCCACGATGGTACTGCAAGCTGTGGCACAGGGACAAGAGTGATTGCTGGTCGGTGACCTCCCAAGAAGCGCTGGATATGGCGTGTATGCTTTCGGTTGGCGGCGTCATAGTTCACAATGAAAAGATTCAGTTTCGCAATGTTCTCGATAGAAGATCCAGTGGCAACGATAATCTTGCGTAGGTTGAGCAGAGCCAGGTGAATCTGCGACTCATAGTCGCTGGGCATTGATCCATCCTTCAAGCTTCCCGGTTGACCGGCGACATGAATAAGTTTTCCAGCCGGAGCGACAGTCGCCGGGGCATAGTAGGCGCTTGCGGTGTTTGACAGGTCGACTGTGGTGACGGTTTTCGACATCGTGAAGTATGTGATGTTGTGGGGAGAAAGAGTCAAAGCCCGATTGATGACGGGCTATATAGGATGACGGCTCTATGGGATTGAAAAATGGAAAGGTGTTTAAGGGGTGACTCCCAGTTAGTCAAAGAGTAGATGCGGCCCTTTTGACCTTGAGGCGGCCCCTCCTTCCTTTCCCTATCGCGACGCCATGCACGACATACCGACTACTGTTAACTTCGCCAAGTCATGTCATCAAAGCAACAAAGGCTATTGGGTCATGTAATGATGTTATCTTGTTCCATACAACATGAGATCTTCAATCTTAGAGTGGAGAAGTGCGGGATGTGGTTGCGCTGTGGCTCACTTTCGCTGAGACTTACCCTGCATCTATGAATTTCGGGATGATCACCGAACTTCACAGCGAAACATCAACCACCATCACGAAGGTATACGGAAATCAAAATATGTCTATGCTTATTATAATACATTTGGTTCACACAGAAGACTGTCTAAAATATTATACAGACGCTTCACTCTAGAAGCTCCATCACCAACTTGGGAATGCGAGATACACCTTCGCCTCTTCGGGCACTAACGGGAACAGCACAAATCTTTTCCTTCCATGCCTTAACATGGCCAGATGGATGCTCAACCGATCCATTTTGTACAGCCGACAGATATTCCTGTAGAGCTCGGTATTGATCCTGGGTGTTTTCCAAGTCTGCTTTGGTAGCCACCACAAACCAGGGCTTGAGGTGAAGGGGCGTCATCATCAATCGAGGCAGAGAGCCATCAGGATTGGTGTGTAACGTCAAACTGTTAGGCTCTCTGAATGGATTCTTTTCAGGTTCCGGACCCTCGTTGCTGAAAGGATTCCAGTCAATAACACTGTCATCTTCAGCGGAGTCGGGATCCATGTCGCGCACTCGCTCGTACTCTCCAAGCTCGTGCCACAGCTTCTTCAGTTCCTGCACGGGGTCACCATTGCTGAGATCGACCACAAAAGCTAGAATACCAGCGCGGTCAATATGACGGAGGAATCCGAGGCCAAGTCCTCGGTCAAGATGAGCGCCTTCCACCAAACCGGGAATATCGGCAATAGTAAAGTGGGTCCGACGAGCCTTTGACTCGACAAGTGGACGGCCCTTCATGTCATCGGTAATCACTGTTCCAATATGAGGGGAAAGTGTAGTGAACTCCCAGTTTCCAACGCGTGTCCGACTGTTGGTCAAGGAGCGGAGCAGCGTACTCTTGCCAGCGTTGGGTTTCCCAACTAGTCCAACATCTGCAAGAAGCTTGAGCTCAAAGTCGAGTTCTAATGTCATTCCGCCTTCACCACGAGAAGCGAACTTCGGCCGTCCCATTGTGCGCGTAGCAAAGTGTGGGTTCCCCAGCCCGCCAGCACCACCCGCAGCCAGAAGCAAAGGCTTATCCATGGGCTTCGAGAGGTCCAGCCAGATCGGTGCCTTCGGTTCCATCGCTGCTATATTCTGTCTCCGAGGATATGATTTCGGAAACTGCACCATGAGGAAGTCGGATGGTTTCGCGGAAGGATGAAGCACCCAGCGGTCGTGCCGAATGGAGTTGAATTCCGGCTCCTCCGTCTCACGCAGACCATCTTCTAGACCTTCAAGGTCGTTGGGATTTCCAAACATTTCCTGCTCCTCCTTGGAGACCTGGGACGCCTCTTCTTCCTCCCTAATGCGCGCCCATGCCTCCTCGACCGGGTCGTGACGGCTGATTTCCCGAACCACAGTGCCAACGGGAACTTGAATGAGCACATCATCACCTCGTTTTCCACCCTTACTTTTGCCTTGTCCATTTCTACCTCGGCTAGCTCGTAGAACACCTCGGCGAGCCAGCTTGTGGAGACTGGTCAAACCTTCGACAGTCTGGATGTAGATACCTCCTCCGCTACCACCGTCACCGCCATTGGGCGGTCCCTCTTCGACATATTTCTCACGGAGATATGAGACACAGCCGTGACCACCAGAGCCGGCATGCATAGTCACCCGACATTTGTCCTGAAAAATGAAACGCGAGTAATCCTCCGGAGGGGGGTTCAGATGCGACAGGTCTGGTGATGGCTCGTCGGGCACAACCTCATCATTAGGGGGAGGATCGACGGTGTCTGTCTTGGTGCTTTGCAAGGTATATCGCGCAATGCATGCTTTTTGTGGGTATTGTAGGAATATGCGACTGCAACTTGCTTGTCTTGAAAGGAATGGTCGTACGGGCAGGAAAAAACAGGGTCGTGGGTGCGCCATGTTGTGAGACCGGCTATCTCGCGCTCATTCTGCGGAGAAACTCTGTAACTTGAAGCAACTCCGTCGCAGTTCGAGTAAGGTAGGAAAGGAAATGAGCTATATGCAGACAATTGACGTTGGAGTGAATTCCAAGTTATGACTTCAGCGGATTTCTCCAACGCGATAAGGTCACATGGCGATAAGCCATCTATACCGTCACCAATGGTGCATAATAAGGTCTATCCAGTCTATACTTCCTAGGCTGTAAAGTCGGTTAAGATTTCAGACTTTTGTTTTCATTTTTCCGACCGCTGGTTCCTTTCTGCAACTTCAAACAGGAATCATATGATCTTCACGTAGGAGAAACCGGTTTCATATTGCAGACGTTTGCCAAGAATAAAGCAGCCAATACTCAACTGCATTTTCCCGTCACTTGCCACCGCCTCATCGACACCCTACTTCGGAAATTCCAAGTATGCATTGTACAAACGCCGTTGGGCATCAGCATATGACAAATGTAGGGCTACGACAGCTACCCCTGTCTCGTCTGCATCTGCGCGTTGCCGCCGTGACTCCCAGGCCACCCTGTCGAAATATGGACCAATGGACTGACTTGGACTCCTCTTTGAGGAGATTAGCTGATTTGATTCCGGATTGGATATACCCATAATCGCGCTAAGGCTGGACAAGTACTACGGTGAGTCGCCAACATACAGCAATGCAAAAACGGTGTGCTTCCGTTTGTTTGATTGGATTCTGACGTAGTTGTTTGCTCCGCGACTACATTCTCTAGATACAGATCATTAAAGACTTGCATTTTTTTTTCTGCTCTATCTCTATTGTTATTACCATGGTATCTGCTACTACGCTGCAGTATACCTCGGTAGATGTCGGCCACAACCTTGGAATCCTCAGTATCAACCTAATTCCTAAAGATGACATCGTAGGGGTATTTATGCCCCACTGAAAGATTGAATGACAGTTATCATTCCATCTCATGGAGCCTCACTTGCTTCGACATCCATCTGTTTTCCTAAGTCTGTACTATGGCATCTTCATCAAACAAGCAGTCGTCTTCTACCGGCAAAGCTTCTCGCCTCGATGGATCTGGTAACGTTGCAATTTGCATATGCTCATTGAGCAGCTGGAATCCACCGATGCGCGAATGCGTGTGATTTGAGCGCAATTTGACGAGATAAAGACACTCATATTGTCAACAAGAAATACTATCCAGGATCTCGAAGGAAAATTTGTACTGCTGGCGAAAACAATAGTGTTTCGGGGCAGAATAATGGTTATAAGAGCAGCCGCACTAATGTGTGTATGGATATATATCAGTCGAAACTGATAAAATTCCTGAAGTCTAAGTGGATGTAACACCGATAGTCATAACAATAAGAGAATTAACGACTCGACCAGAAAGGACCCAGAAACGGCGCGGTTGACTACTTTCGGCGTTGAGCATTACGATTATATGGTCCATTATTATTGTGTATGCATATATATGAAGACTAGGTGTAGGCTTGAGTAGATGCTGCTTTTCGAATTGTGTTGAGCCACAATCAAGTATCTACCCCTACCCGTTTCTTCCACCCAAGGCGAGCTACATGATCCATAGCCCGAGATGTCAAGGTGCCCTGAAATAAGTCTACAATATATCTATTCGAGCGAACGACACCCTCCAGACAGGCGATTAGTGCCTGCGTAGGACAAAACACTTCAAATTGCAGGGCCAGTGCCAGTCACTGGCGTCGTAGTCGACGAGTATTTAAAGTGACATCAAGTACGACACGAACGGGACACGTAACTACGACCAGGCTTCGTAATGAACTTAGACCGGGGGTGGTACAAGGATAGGATTTGGAATAAGTATCAACAGGGAAGCTAAACCTGTACAACATGATAAGAACGGAGTGTGGAATAAACCTTCTTTTCTCAATGATTGACGTGTAGGAGCTCCTATGGGGGATGTATCATAGAAGGCTGTGTTGTCTGTGTTGATTGGCCTGGCGCGCCTGCCTCTAATGTCAGGCTCATCACAGGCAGGAGTCCGTGATCCGCTGTCACATTTAGTGCACACATGTTAGGAGGTCGATCATCTCTTAGCTCCCTGCTCACAAAAGTACTATTCCAGGGCAGAGGTCTTGTTGCTGTACTTTTGTTGGTTGGCTCGGCTTGAGGTGTTCATGCATGTTTTACTGTTCATCTAGGTTCTATCTGGCGAAATCGGTGGCGGTACTTTTTAGACGTTCGTCTTCGATCTATAGTTGAAACTTTGCGTTGTATGCAGGAAATCGTGCATATAGTTTGCCTTTTGCGCCTAGGGCTTGAGTGTCTATTGAGTGGCTTTCTGACTGCTTGCCTAGGGACCTACTGTACTATTCGGTGGCCTACTTCCTAGATGAGGTGGCTTAGGTATATAGCTGATGTGCATACCTGAAGCAGCTTAGGGTAAGATTTGCTTTTGATTGGAATTACTCCGCCAAACGATAGTCATGCGCAGTGGGAAACTTCATACAGTGGACTCTAGATGTATATCCTACTTCAAGTGGAGAATAGTTCATCAAGAGGATAGGATAGGGGTTGCATGGACTAATCAAATTGTAAATCGACAAGTCAATAGCTCCCAAAATTCAATTGACACTTCCAAGCTAAAGTCAATTCCCCCTCCGTAGGAACAGACATCTAGCGTATACTATTCGACAGAAGCAACCAAGACCGCACACGTGACCACCAGATCGAGGAATTTGTCTAGACCGCTGCAGGGGAAATCCTCTTAATCACATCGAGCATTTCCGAAGAGCCCAGAATCAATGAATCAGCAAGGCGACAAAAAGTACATGTGCAATTGTACAGGTCCAGCTGAGAGACCAAAAGTCCGCGGAACTCGGCTAGGGCAAGGAAGTGGGAACAGAGAAGGGAGACAGGGGTGCTCACATGATCAAAAGAGGAATCGATAGTGTGAAAATCTTTGCAAAGACGAGATGTGATTCGTGTCCACTCCGCGGAACTTTTGTTTCATTCCCGTCACCGCGGCACCGGATTACTTTCCGTTTGCCACTGGGAATTGGGGGCGATCGTTCCTGTTGGTTAAACAGATGTAATTCCCATACACATTCTATTTACTGTAGACACTAATGTACTCCATAATATCCTTAACTTAGTACCGTGGAACTGGACTGCTGTTCCGCAACTCCCCTGGTGGGGAGCCCGAGAAACAGGCGATTCACACTTCTAATTGGACCGCGGAAATCCCATTCAGCTGCCGGACCAGCTCCCAGCTCCCAGGATTCGTCTCTATCTGGTACACACTAGACAGAAACGAGACATGCAAGGTTAGGTCTGGAGTTCGGATCTTGTCACACCTGCATTGCGCAAAAGTACCTGTCAAATCTAGTGTCGATGTATGCATAGACTTTGGAGAACAATCTCCCGAGATCCTATATATAAAGAAGTTTCGATCGGTAATCTTGCCGCCGACAGTAAAGCCGAAGATGTACATACTATCAGCCTCGGACCCATCTAGGACCTCGGGAGCTGGTCGCTTGGTGTACTTCAGCTCTAAGCTGACGGGTCCCACCTTCAAGTGCCCAGTATGAAAGGTGGCAAAAGTCTAAGGTGGGTATGCTATCATCTTCATTAGATCCAAACCCACATAGACCGAGGTACCGCGTAACCTGTCGCAAGCACAATTTAGCGCAAGGTTCCAGATCGTAAAGAGAGGGGAAAGTGGACTGCAGTGACGCTCGACAGCGCGATAAACTTCCAACCTTCTTTCCTCTCGATCGATCGGGGAGGCTAAGGGGAAGTTACGCAGCTCTCAAAGTACACATCGCAAAAAGGACGGCATGATTGTGGCGCCCTATTGGCAGAGTGGGAATGAACCCGGACCTTGAACCGAAAAAAGGCCGAGAAGCGAAATGGGAACCTGCATGACAATCCAAATCGAGATCATGATCGATTTGGCTGAAAACAAAGGAATCAGAATGATCCGCAATGTGCATACTACTACAGTATCACAGTCCTTGTACATACAGCTTGCGAGGGACGATGTTCAAACCCTTGTTCTCTTCCCCACTTAATGCCTGTTCCCTTTTGCTTTTTGGCGCTCGCTCTCTTTCATTCCTGGCGTTCTAGATTGTAAGCTCCCCGAAAAGAAAAAATGATACATCACAACAGAATTTTCTTCCCGTCAACCATTGCGGCACAGGCCCAAAATGCCTAGCCTGAGAGCTCAGCCCCTTTCGCAATTTGGCCCGATATCCTCAAATGTGGAATTGGGGACAGACAGATCCTATAAGCCAGGAACATATCTCCGTACTTACTTTTCTTTTGGCTTTTGGCTTTGCGAAGTAGCCGCGACGCCACACTTCCAACCATTTGGATTCATGCGATGTGAGAACCCGACAATGTGGTGTGGCAGCTGTCCTACGTCGATCATGGAGCCTTGCGTATGGTACGAGATCCGTTAGCGTTATCCAAAAAGGGAGAGTGGTGATAGAATGCTTTGGACAAACGCCAGACACGGCCTATGCCGCGTGTCATCGTGTATCGCCGACCTAGAATGTACCGCTATGGTTGATCTATAGAGTGGCTGAACCCGATCTTTGTTGTGGCGGTCATCGTGATAGTGGGGAGATGGACGATCTGGGTGATGGGTCGGCATGTGCGATAGATGCCACTGAGGCGGCGTCAATGTAAGTCGACCCGTCCCCTTGCTATACTGTTCTCAATTGGGAAGAGTTGAGGTGTATGATCCG